GTGAATTAGTCTCCTGTTCTCCTCAGCCCTGTCCTCCACAGCTGCCTGGGACTAGACAAATACCTATGCAAGCCTCTCCTGCTGTGGCTCCTGCTCCACATCATCCATGTAAATGCTTCCACCCACTTTTAGTCTTTAAAACCTTTACCAAAATCTCTATTGTTTGCTGATGACTTGCCCCAGTTTTCTTTGCTATTGAGTGTCTATTTTCTTTTGTAGTTCTTTACTGATCTTTCCACAGAGGTTTTGGTGGAAAGGAAGTTAGACATAGTCTATAATTGTCAACAGCTGTGGGCCAGAGTGAATGAACAATGCCTTCTCAGCCCAAGTCAGACCCATATTTCCCCATCAGTGAGTGCGATTTAGGTGGTGCCACCCTGGAGATGCTGATTTCACAGGAGCGGGTGCGGCCTGGGCAATGGAGTTTTAAAAGCTCCCTCCCTGGTTGACTCAAGTCCGACGAGCATCTCCACTTACTCCTTCTGTTCACCTCTGTTGATTCTGAACTTGGGGCTTCTCTCCGTGTTCCCATTAACTTCTCCAGAATTTAACCTGTGCATATTTTAGGTTGTGACGGTCCATGTCTGGTTTCTCCATCAGTTGAAAAAACCATGCTTTTTATCTTTCAGAAATTCTTTGGTAAATCTGGTACAATTGTGGTATCCTTTCTGGGGTGTTGGATTGTTATGTTAAAAACATGTTTTCTAGGCCGGCCCGTGGCTCACTCGGTAGAGTGCGGTGCTGATAACACCAAGGCCCCGGGTTCGGATCCTATATAGGGATGGCCGGTTTGCTCACTGGCTGAGCGTGGTGCTGACAACACCAAGCCAAGGGTTGAGATCCCCTTACCGGTCATCTTTAAAAAAAAAAAACAAAACATGTTTTCTTTCATTTCCATGGGGTTTTGGTGAAAGGACAAAAAGCATGCATTCAGCCCACATTCTTGATCTAACAATTTCTACTTTTTAAAAAATGCATAAAATATGTAATTTTCTTATTTTTTCCCTTGAAAAACTTTTATTACAGAAATATTAAAAATATACAAAAGTAGAGAGAACAGCACAGTGAGCCTCCATGATCCCATGAACCAGCTTCCCGACTGAACAGCCAGTTCATGACCTGTGTGTTTCCTCTATACACCCACCCTCTCTGACCCCCCTCTTTAGCCCTGGATTATTTGAAGCAAGTCCTAGATATTTTATAATTTAATCTGTCAATATTTTAGTATCTATAACAGACAAGGGCATCCCTTTTAAAACCTAATCACAATATCACCACCTCCGCCCCCCGCCCCATCAATAACAAACCCTTAATATCATCAAATATTCAATTTGGGCTGGCTGGTTAGCTCACTCGGTAGAGTGTGATGCTGATAACACCAAGGTCCAGGGTTTGAATCCCTGCACCAACCAGCTGCTAACCCCCCCGCAAAAAAACCCCAGTTCATTTCACATTTTCCCAATTGTCCTATAATTGTTTTAAAGTTTATCTGAATTAGGATCTAAACAAGGTCCAAAACATTGTGATTGATTAATATGTCTCTTAGTGTCTTTTAATCTATAGGTTCCCACACCAGTCTTTTTTTCTGCTTTGCTGTTTATTTGTTGTGGAAACTGGTTTGTGTGTGACGTAGTTTCCCACGGTCTGATGCTGCTGACTGCATCCCTGTGGTATCCTGCATCCCGTGCCTCTGCCCCTATGTTTCTTTTAAATTGGTAGCAAGAGCTCAGTGTGTAATCAGATTTGGGTCTGATTCTTCAGCATGAGTACTCCGTAGGTATTGGTGTATACATCTGTCAGGAAGTGCATGTCTTGTGGTTTCTCTTTTGTGATGCTAGTAGCTATTGCTGATCATTGATGAGAGGTATTAATTCACTAGGAGTTCCAAAATAGTGATATTCTAGTTCTATCATTCTTTCTTTATTATTAAGTGGAATGCTTTTATAAGGAGGATTTTAGCCTCTCACAAAAAATTTGGTTACTCTGAGGAGCAGTTCATATAGAAAAGATAAAAATAAATGTTTTTTTTCCCCTTTATTTACCAGTTTTCAAAATAGTGTGCTGGTTCCCTAGTGTCTTCCAAAAGTGACTAATCGGGCCAGCCCGTGGCTCACTCGGGAGAGTGTGGTGCTGGTAACACCAAGGCCACGGGTTCGGATCCCATATAGGGATGGCCGGTTAGTTCACTGGGTGAGCATGGTGCTGACAACACCAAGTCAAGGGTTAAGATCCCCTTACTGGTCATCTTTTAAAAACAAAAACAAAAACAAAAACAAAAAAAACCAAAAGTGACTAATCACTGAGGTTTTTTTTTTTTTTAAGTATCATTATGAACTCTTGGATTCATTTGATAAGTTTCAATCCATGCAGTCACCTTTATTGATCTTCAAATTGCCCCATCTTTGGCCAGTAAGAACCTTTTCTAGATGGTGTCTTAGTCCTTTTGATATTACCGTAATAGTCCTTGATAGTTTCTTTTGCTTTTGTATGACAATATGTCCCAAGCTCATCTACTATATTTCATGCACCAGACCTATAACTTTTTTAAGGAGCCTTGGTTCTTTTAGCGGGATATGGAATTTGAAGACCATAATCTGGGTACTAGGGGATTCATTGCCACTGAGTTGGCTACTTTGAAAACATGTATTTGTTTTTAAGGATGAAATACATCAAATATTCATATTTTCATTTCAGATCAAAATCAGGACTACAGGATTTTTATCTGACTGTATCTCATTTCTGTATTTTCTTTCTTCCATCCCCCAAATCCCATTTCTCAACGACACCAATGTTATTCATCATGTGCTTTATCCCACGGGATACAGCCAACAGTCTCAAAATAACAGTATCAACACTACCACCAACAATATCATTACTAAAAACAATTTAAGATTTCTTTGTGAAGTTCTTTTGTCCTTACAGTGTATCTCACTAGGCACATGCAATGAAATTAATGTGTTTTAAGTTACTTGGAATGGTTTCTCTCTGTGACATTATGCCACCAATGGAATACACAGTTAAGTTCATATTATTTTGTATTTTTAGGCACAGCTTTTACATTTTTTTTACATTTAATCTGCTTCATAATTATTTAAAGTATGTATGTGGTTCCAAAGTCAAATCTACCAAAAAGGTTTTATAACTGTCCCATCTACCCTATTCCTTACCTCCTTTTTGTTGTTATTCTATTACTGTTTTTCTTTTTTCTTTTTTTTTTTTTCCTTTTTGTCTTTTTTTGTGTCCGGCAACGGATCGCAACCCTCAGTGTTGCGCCCGTACCGGACCAGGACCGGCAACGGGATCGCAACCCTCGGTGCTGCGCCTGCACCTCGCTCAGCCAGTGAGCGGGAACCGGTCTGTATGTGGGATCCGAACCCTCGGCGGGAGCGCCACTGCGCTCCCTAGCAGCGCACTGCAGCAGTGCGCCACCGGGCCAGCCCTGTTTTTCTTTTTTAAACATAAGCAAATATATATGGATATATTTGTATTATCCCCCTTTTCTTAAGTGGCAGCATACTACACTTTCCTCTGCCTTCCTTTTTCACTTACCAACGTATCCTGGAGATTACTCCATAGCAGTATAGAAAGATTCCTCATTTCTTTTTATAGATGCATAGAAATCCATTGTGTGATACATTTACTTTTCTTTTTTAAAAATAAGCTTGGATCTTACTTTATATAGAATTCTGTAACTTTCTTTTCATTTGACTGTATATAAAATTTTGTACCTTTCTTTTCATTAACTATTAAGCATTTCTTCTGTCAAAGATGGGTTTTTAATGGCTATATACTATTTATATTCATATGTCTGCATAAAGAAGCACAAAATTTTAAAATTCCCTGATTTTATCTCGATGTGTGTTTGCACTGATCAGTGGGTTTTGAAGCCTCTTCTGTTAGATTTCTAAGCTGGTTGCTATAACTATGCCCATTTTCTGGCATATTCTTTTTGAAGTTTTCTGAAACTCCAGAGAAAAAAGGACTAGAAGAACTCTTTTCCCTGCTTTATTAAGGGAGAATTTACATCCATTCTGCCCCCCCCCCCAATATCCTTCCTCTGCCTCTGAGTGATCTCAAGTCTCCTGGGAAATCTAAATTCCCTACCTGTTATAAAAGATCCTTGTCTTAAAGAATCAAGCTTAAGATTTATTAGTTGAACCTTGAAAAAGCTTATTTCTTAAGTGTCTTATCTGGCTTTTCTAAATTGTTGGACATTTTAGAAATCTTGAAAGCAGAAAGATAGCAAGAAGTAAGAAAAAAAGGACTAAAAAAACCCTTTTCCCTTCTTTATTAAGGGGGAATTTACCTCCATTCTGCCCCCCCCCCCCAATATCCTTCCTCTGCCTCTGAGTGATCTCAAGTCTCCTGGGAAATCTAAATTCCCTACCTGTTATAAAAGATCCTTGTCTTAAAGAATCAAGCTTAAGATTTATTAGTTGAACCTTGAAAAAGCTTATTTCTTAAGTGTCTTATCTGGCTTTTCTAAATTGTTGGACATTTTAGAAATCTTGAAAGCAGAAAGATAGCAAGAAGTAAGAAAAAATAAATATTTTAAAAATTCTTTTTAGAGCAGTGTATACACTTTAAAAGACAGTTTTACAAACATATTTGCAAGCAAAACTTTAAATTTATGGGCCATTAAAATTTACCCTAAATATTACAATGTTGTAAGTTAATTTTTAGATTTAAAAACTTATTTTGAGTTGCATTAAAATGTTAACAAAATACAATGATATTATTTGTGATGAAATAAAAATGATAGCAAGAAGTCTTTTTAATGAATAGAACAGAGCTTTAATTTTTCTGAGTATAGTACATATTCACCATATTAACTCATTCCAATAATTGGAGATCCTCTATCTGTTCATATGATTGTAGGAAACAAACTTGAGAAACATATTCATGAAGTGAAATAATTTAAAGTTGTAATAAGCATAAGTAGCTCTGATACTTTGGGAAAGAGAATTTCACTATTTTACATTTCGCTTTAAAAGAAATACCTTGAGTTTTTGTTGAAGGCATTTTACTTCCACTTGTAGAGTCTTTGTAGCTGTTTGAGCTGCTAAAGTCTTCCCATTTTCAACTGCCAACTGCCGACTAAAGGCTCTACTGTTTAACCTCAGTTGTTTTTCCAAGCTCTGAAAACATAAATATTTCAACTATTCTATAACCAACTTGGCATTATTAAAAACTTCAATTGTAACAGAACTAATTACATTTATGAGAAGTGCAAATTTTCAATACAATTTTAGTGAATGGCTTATACAAGGGACACACATTAGAACTAAGTATAACCAGAAAAAAATAAAAGCCCCCAAATCTCAGATCTGAGCTCTAGAGAATAAATATGTTTTGAGCTCAATGTTTTCACACACTCTGGAATTTGATAAAAAAAATTTGTAAAGTTAATAAACATAACCACTGTCATACTTTAAAACAAAACCTAAGCAGTTCTGCCCAAATGAACTATTCTAAGTAACTATTCTAACTATTCTATCTTTGCATAGGGTACTCCTTAAAATCCTTTCAAGCCTCTCTCCCTAAAGTGTTGTTCAGTGTCACACATCACGGACAGTGACTTCCAGATAACACACAGTGAAAGTTCTAAGAGGACTCACACCACACTGATGGACGATATAACCACCTATACTCATACCCACCTGCTCTCTGGAATGAGAACTATGTCATTGGAGAACTGTTTGATCCAGACTTTGACAGAAAGCTTGGCTAATTGGTATACTATTTTTTTCCTCCATAAAATGGGGTTTCCCCCATTATAACATTAATACTTCCAATTAAGGAAAAATGGAAAACATGGAAAGGTAAAAGGATGAAATAATCACTAAAAATCCTACTCCCTAAAATATTAATATTAAAAAAAAATACCTGCACGTTTTGGGCCACAAAACATTGTGCCCACCAAATGCCCTACAACCAAACAGAAATTTCCCATACTTGGTAAGTGCTTCTGATAGCCAAGAAAATAGTTAATTAGTTCTTGAATTAGTTTTGGTTTTGTCTATAGATATAAAAACATGGACTACTTAAACTTTTATACATAAAAATATGTAGATGAGATAAAAATAAATTTACTTTTACATGATAGACATACGCTAAGATGGGTCCAATATTACTTAAAAGGCCAAATAATATAATTTTGGTATACAAGAACAAAAAATGAGGGTGCTCACTATTTTCTGTACCTCACATATCCATTTTATGTGAAAAATTCCCTTTGAAAATAGAAAATTTTACCTACAGAATAACTGAGATAATAACATGAATGAAATGAACTTGATATTTCCTTACTTTAAAGATCATAGAAAACACTGTACTTGCCTCACCATCAAATATAAAAGAAGTAAATAATAAATTAATTCCACTTATATTTATGTTCCTGGTAACCAAAACTATCTAATGTAAAATAGGCAGAATTCTCAGTAGGATCAGGGCCTTCTCCCAAATCATCCCTTATAATGTAATCCCCAGGTTTTTGACAACCATGTACTATTAAGGAAAATCAATCCATTCATTTTTTTCAATTATTTGAATTCTTTTTCCTTCCCTTTTCCCAGAGCATTATCTGGGAAAAATTCCAATCTCTAAAACAACTAAAAATGTCTATTTGGTAATGTTTGGCCAAACCGATGAGGGAGAATACAAAAGAAGGCACTGAACAGATACACTGTTTAGATTTTTAGGGAAGTAGCCTTTTAATAAACAGTTTATAGTAGACCACTGATTTCGGAGAGAAGTTTTGCACAGCATAATGGAACCTTTTCAGCACATGAAAAAATGCCCCTGACACTGGTAGCTGTGCTGTCTTAGGAAAAGGTCATCTCCAGGTAAATTTGCCTAGCCACAGAATGAACTCTTGCTTGTTACCACAGAACAGACATTTCCATTCTGAGAGCTTCTGTTTTTCCGTCTAACCTCTTTCTTCCCCCTGCCCCTGCCTGCCATTAGACAACATAATTGTTTAGTGTGGCAGGCCAAGCAAAGCAGCTTGTAATGCTGCATTATAGAGGGGGCAAATAAGATTAATGTGCACCCCCACTCAGTATTAATTCTGGAAATGTAAAATTTCTAGGTCTCTGAAATACAGACCTGTATTTTTTTGTCATTTTCCTCCATTTTTGTCATAAGAATAGACAATCTATGAGTAAGTTCTTCCCTTTCTGCAAGATTTTTGTCTTCAGAAAGTTTCTGCAGTGCCTGCAAGGCATCTTTAGTCTTCAGTAACTTGTTGTCGGTTTCTCTAAGTTTCCTAGATACAGTTCTTTCCCTTTCCTGGGATTTCCTAAGTAGCTGCTTTAAACTTTTTATTTCATTCTGATGTTTAACCATAATTTGAGGTAGATTATTTTGTGAATTCTCATATTTTCCTATAGCTTTCAAGTGCCTCAGCTGAAGTTGTTTCAAAAATTGGTTTTCTATGATGATGGTTTCCAATTTACGATGTATATCAGCTAATTGATTTTTTAGTTCTTTAATCTTATGAAGCCTTGCTGAGAGTATTCGATGAGCCACAGCATCTCTTCTTTGGGTAATCATATTGATTTGAGAACTTAAAAATGATGTATTCCAGGTGTGCTTTTTTTCAGCTGAGATTTCCTTCTGGCCTGTGTAAACAGATACTCCAGTTTATTACTAGTAATATACGCACACACACACACACACACACAAATGCACATATGTAGAATACCCTCCCCCCATATTTACATACATACACAATCATAAGTATAACTAGAAGGGGAAAGAACTAACATTTAATGAGTGCCTATGCTTTAGGATAGATATTTTATACACAGATATCTCATTTAATACAATTTTTAAAGGTCAGTTGTATAAGGTTACATAGCCATGAAATGACACAGATTGGATTGAAAACCAGGTCTTCCTTGACTCTAAAACCTATACTTAGATTTCTATTATAAAAGCTGTACTTAAATCCATAACCAACATTTACTAAGTGCTTATCATATGTTAGGCATTGAACTAAATGCTTTATATAGATTATCTGATATAATCCTTTCAGCAATATGTTATAACGTAATTAGAGTAGTAGTGTAATGTGAGAGCTCAATGTCAAGATCTAATATATTCAAAATGAGGCTTAAAAAGCCATTAAGTTGTTTAATGTGTATATATATATATATATATATATATATATATACACACACACACACACACACATATACATATGTACCTGTGTGTGTATTTCATCTCTCAAAAAATCCAATGCAGCCAATTTTTCCTCTGTTACTTTGTTTTTCTCCTTCTGTTACTTTGGCTGGTTGCTAAATGAAGTAGTTGGCATGTGTTCAGGAGTCTTTGAAACAAAAAATACCTAAAAAAAACCATTATACTTAGCACCAATATAATTGAATTTGAGTATGTTAAATGTATGTGTAACACCATTTTACTACTGTCCCATTTTAAATGTAAACTGATGCCTACAGACGTCACTTGTCAATGGGCACACAGCTAGTAAGTGATGAGATAGGACCCACTGTCTACGCGTCTATGCTACTTCTCATAAGTGTGTGCACTTGTACAATATATATGTATATGTGTGCATCTGTCTATGTAAATATATGTATGTGTGCATGTGTACATATCAGTATATCTATGTTCTGAAAAAGAAAGACTGGAACTGGATTCTAAAACCTGAAAGAGTCTGGTCCTCATTTGGAAAGAGAAGGGCACTTAGTGGCCATTGTCACTGGAGTCTAATCTTAAGCTACTGGCTCAAGTGTGGACACATCATCTGAAACATGGCTTAATATGTTTGGCCTAGGTGGTGGGAAAGCAATTGTACCTGCGATGGAAACAATGAACCCACAGAAACAAAGCATGCTTTCTGGGGATAAAGGATTTGAATCATGACTATGACAGACCACACGATTTTACAACAATCACAGTATCAGTATCACATCAATAACTGATGGACTCTGCAACTATGCCTTTGCGGGTATTTATTTTCCCACCAGGAACAATAGTTTAGCAGGGTCTATGGTTGAATATTCGAGTATTTTAGAGTAGGCTTTTGAGCACATTAAGAAGTGGAAGGCAGAGCAGGTGGCCTCTGGGACACCTCCTAGAAGGCTGGTAAAGAGGTGTCTGTGGGTGTGTTGAGGCCAGACACTTTAACAACTTGGGCCCTGGCTAGGGAAGTCCAAGACCCAGGCAGTGTGGATTAGGATGGCTGAAAATAGGGGTAGACAGGGGCTGACATGTTCTGTGCCACAGCCAGCATGACTGAACTCAACTCCCCAACTTGTCATGCCTTCCTGCTCTTGGGTATTCTGACCTGGAGGAGAGAGGGATTTCCCTGAGACTAGAAGGTGAGGAGTGGTGGGTTCCATGGGCAATGGAGGCTTATGTCCCCTTCCCATGACATGCTCAAGTGACAGGAGGGCACAGGTAGCATGGAGGTGCCTGGAGACAAAACACCATGGCCATGGGAGCTCTGGCCAAGGCCCCAGGAGTTGCAATGTGTACAGTGTGTATGGATGCTTTAAAAAGGAGAGGGGTTGGCCTTTTAAATATCGCATGGGCTTGGACAAGTAGCACATAAGTGATGAAGATAAAGGACCAGAGGTCCTTCCCCAAATATTCTTATCTGTGTGAGTCCCCCACCCCCACCCCCATACTCCTCCCATTCCTTAAACAGAACTGAGATCGAATTTCTTGTCTAGCCTAGAGGGTGGGTAGGAGAGGATGAGCCAGGTTTGTTTGCTTCAGAAAGGTAAATATACCATTTGCATTTGAGTGGTATACAACAAATGCATACTATATACATCTTGCATACTTATATAACTATAAAAGTTATGGAAAACTGAAATAGGGTTTAATCCTTAATGATTTTTTGTCTCATTATCCTGAACTTCCACATGATAAGGATGATATAATTTATAATGTCAATCCCATTTCACACAATAAGGCAGATTTAGCTGAATGATTAAACTACTCTTAAGATGCCTAATTTTTAAACGACCGAGCTAAAACACTCTCTCAAATTAACCAAAAAACATATATAATTCCACAGTTATTCAAAAAGGCACACTTCACATTACTTACAGACATGTGCTCTGCTGAGCCGTTCTAGGAGAGTCCCGACACCCACCACTTCCCCGAAAGCTCATCCTGTCCCAGCATGCCTTCCTTCCAAGGCCCATCCCCCAGGCTCCCCCCCACCCCACTCCTCCTTTTTAAAGCTCTGTTGTTTCCTATTATACTTTTCTGCCCATGCTGTTTCCTTCTTCCTCTCCTCCCTGGCCTCAGCCTGGTTCCCTCTCATGGTCACTGCCCCCTTTGGTCTCATTGTCCCATTCTGTTACTCTCGCACTTCCTCCACACCTTCACTCTGGCTCTGCTGCCCCGGAGTCATGTTCCCACTCACTGTACTGGCTCTGCCTCCCCTCGCTTTCTTCTCTTTCTCTTCTGGGTCTACACTGTGAAAGACATGAACCTCAAAAGACATGATGGACCCACTTCCTCCAAGGACCAGGGTAAAGAAAAGGTTCAAAGGGCTTTTGCCTTTCTGTTCTCAGTAGTTTCTGTTGCTAGTCTGTTAGAGAAGGTGTCTCTTTAACCCTACCTTAGGTCTTCTACCCATATATGACCAAGAACAACAGGGCAAAAGGTATCCAAGTATATGAATGCAATAAAATAACTTCTTTTTTGGTATAACAATGTTTTGAATAATTATCACATGTTTTGGCATTGTACTGACAAAGTACATCAAGGAAGCAATTTTCTAATTAACAGGCTATATAATTCAAAGAGTTGTGAAAGTGCATTTTTTACAAAAGAAGGAAATAATCAATTTTTGAAAAGCAAATTGTAGAAATACATTGCTTGCTATGTGCCATGATTTAAGTAAATACCCAAAGTCTGACCAAAGCAAAAATCCTATGGAGTTGAAGTCCTCATTTCATCCTTATAATTTTTGTCTACGAAATGTTTTTCTGCCATAGACTTTGCTTTCATAAATTTACTAAAATGGGAATTGAAAATAATCTCTGATGTTACTATTCTTTAGTGAATTTTGGGTCTATATTGGTGGTTTCTAATCCAGTGTTACCAGCCCCTCAGGGTCAGAGATCTACTTTAGATAACGGAAATTGAACATGCACTTGAGAAGGAGGTGCACTGGCTAAAACATCACTTCTCTTTGCTATGGGTTAGAATTATACTATCCTAGGGTGGATCAAATTACTGGCTGCTTAAATTACTTTGGCAAACATTTGCCAAACATGAACTATTATGGGAACAAAAGAATAAAAGAAAAAAATAAGGAAATACTTTATCATTCTGTGACAAAGCTTGATGTTGCAATTAGTGTTTTGTTACACTGGGCAAGGGTCCTCAGGGACATATAAAATTTGAGTTACAGATGCATGCAAGATTTATTTAAAATAATGTCAGAGTATTAATACACAAAAGGATAACCAAGTAAGAGCAAACCTTTCACTTTTCCAGATAATGAAATTAGGGTTCTAGTCTCCTGTGAAGTGACTGAATTAATTCAGGTTGCTCCCAGTTTATGAACAGGTATCCTGCATAAGGGACTCAATAAATATTTGTAGAATAAATGAGAAATCAATTTTAAAAAGCTATATTATAAGGTGTTTAGAACTCAAAATTCAGTTTGTTTCTTGTAGAAATAATTCTATAAATGCTAACTGCCTTCTTGCATGCCCATAAAAGCTTAGAATCAATATAAATACAGTGTACAGATCCATGATCCCTTATCAGAAACCCTTGGGATCAGACTGTTTCAGAATTTTTGGGGTTTTATTTTTTAGGTGGGTGCATATATGGTATTTTCCATAGTTCTTTCAGTAGGGTCTGGGACAGTACCCTTTAATCAGACAATATTTTTTTAGTGAAATATATGAGTATTTACACTAAATAAAATAGAGATCAGTCTCATATCAGTTCAAACAAGATTTTTGTTGCCAAATCAATTCTGGTGACAAAGATATGAAAAATGTTGAGTTTTCAGAGATTTGTAAATTTCAAATGTGGAAAAGGGATTATGTAATTAATTGTAGGACTAAACCACGATGCTGTTCCATTGTGATAATCATTTTCAAATGCCACAAACAGACTTCTTTTGATATAGTTCCACTGTGAGAGAAGATACTGGACTTTTTGTCTTCTCCCTGGGCCTCACCAGTGGGTGTAGGACTCCTACCTCTTTAGAAAAGAGGCTTTTAACCTTTTGAGAATCTGATGAAAGCTATGGGTCCTCTCCCTAGAAAAGTTCACAAATGCACATGGACACAAAAAATGCGTAGAATTTCATGGGGTTTACAGATATGTGTCTTAGATGAGGAGTCCCTGCTCTACAGCTAGGAAGAAGAGGAACTGAAGATTCTAGATATTCCAGGAGCATAAAGTGTCCCGGACACACCTGGTAATAGCAGGTTGGGGTGAAAGATCCTGGGTAAACATGATAGTGGTAGATGTGTCCCATAAATAGTAGGCTCTTAATTAAATATTTTCAAACTGTTGACTGAGTGTTCTCTGATGGTCACAGCGGAAAAGAGTTCTGGCTATTTCTACATAAGGAATACTTAGAAGCTCAAGGTTACCTAAAATGGGAGGAAGTAACTACAGTCTGGGCAGGGAGGAAGGGAGGGAGAAGACCAAGGATATCACAAGGCTAATTCCAATTTGAACAGTTAGGAGTTGATGGAATTGGCACTTTTAAAATCCACAAGGAAATGACATTATTAACAGCCTTTTGAACTATCTCTGTTTAAAAAGATTGTCTTTAAAGATCCAATCAAGATGGCAGAATAGACGGTCCACAGTGTCACTTTCTCCCACAAATCAACCAATTTACAGCTATAAAAACGAAACATCAGCCAAGCCGGGGACGCCGGAGCTCAGGGGAAGAGGAGGAGAGACCTACGGAGTTCATGAAGGCGGGAGAAACTACAATGAGAGAAAGAAAAAGCTGCTCTGAGTATTTCGGGCCGCAGCCGCTTCAAGGCTCGAGCTGAGCGCATGGAGCAGGAGCTGGGGGAAGCCGCAGCTGTGCCCTTCGGATGGAGTTACTTGGAGGCGGAAGGGGAGAGGGCCTCGGCGGCCCCCAGGACAGCAAGACCACTAATAGGGTTCACGTGGATCCACACACAAGAGCAGGAGCCAGAACAACTGAAAAAAGGGAGCCATTCAGAAGCCGGCGAGTCATCCCAAGGGACCAGTGCAGGGTCCGTCCCACGGGAAGTGTTTGCAGCACGGGTGGTGGGCAAGACAGGCCCACCAGGGGAACACTGGGGTAAAGCAAGGACAGCTGATCTGCCCCCCAATCAGCACAAGACCACTCAGAGGAGACTGGTCGGGAATACAGAATTGCATGGGGTGCAGTTTGATGAAAAAACTCAGGCCCAGATCAGAGATTCTACAAAACACAGATCTACCGTGTCTCTGGAGAGCCAGAAGTACCTATAAGGTCAACCATTAAACCCTGAGCTGAACAAAAAGCCTTCCCTAGGGAAACAGCAGCAAAGTAGCAATTTAAACAACCACACAGTTCAAGTACTGGTTCCCACAGGAAGTTCCTCTGTGTTAGAAGCAAAGGACAAAAAATTAGTTCTGGGCCAGGCACACCACCAGCACCTTGGGGCCTGCCTGGGAACTGGAGGCTTGGATCTGGGGACCGGACCCCACTCCCACCTTCAGGCAAACTGCACCAGTGCGTTGGGGCCAGAACTGGGGACCTGAAGCATGGACCCCCCACCCACAACCAGGCACACTAGCACCTTGGAGCCCAATGGGGGACCTGGGGCATGGAGAAGGAGACTGGACCTCTCTCTCACAACCAGGCACACTGAGCCAGCGCCTTGGGGCTCACCCAGAAACCCAGGGTATGGAGTTGGGGACTAGACCTCTCTCCCACCACCAGGCACACTGAGCCAGCGCCTTGGGGCCCACCCACGGTACTGGGGCATGGAGAAGGGGACCAGACCACCCTCCCACAACCAGGCACACCATGCCAGCACCTTGGGGCCTGTCTGGGGACCAGGGGCAAGGAGAAGAGGACTGGATCTCTCTCCTACAACCAGGCACACTGAGCCAGCACTTCAGGGCCCACTGGGGACCTAAGGCATGGAGAACAGGACTGGACCTCTCTCCCACAACTAGGCACACCAAGCCAGCGCCTCGGGGCCCACCCACGGTACTGGGGCATGGAGAAGGGGACTGGACCCCTCTCCCACAACCAGGCACATGGCGCCAGTGCCTTGGGCTCTGCCCAGGGACCAGAGGCATGGAGAAGGGGACCAAACACACCCCTCAACCAGGCATACTGCCAGTGCCAAGGAGCATGCCAAAAACAGCGCCTCCACGTGGGTGGCCCACCACAGCCACCACAATAACCATGGCTGCTGCAACAGTGGCTAGACACCGCAGCCACCACGCAGATTGTTCGCCAACCTCTGGAGTGCATTCATACAAGAAGAGTCACCAGCAGAGACAAAGAAAAGAAGAGGATGTCTCTTTCCACAAAACCCATTTCAGAGTGACAAAAGAAGCATCTGCTATATGATAATATTGGGGGACCTGATCACATCTCTCAGCATTGGACAGATCATCTAGGCAACAAGTTAACAGAGTAATCATTATTCTCAGAAGGAGAGAAGAAATCTAGGGCAATTAGAGAGGGAAGTGGGGAGGGAATGGGGAAAGGGGAGAGGTTGGACAAGGGGCATAAAGAATAATTACGATTTGTAAAAATATATATGCTAGTAATACTGATTTAATCAACATATCTTAATGTTCAACCCCCAAAATATGTATAATCGATTTTGATTCAATAAATAAAATAAATTATTAAATAAATAAATAAATAAAAAGATTGTCTTTGCCAATATGCCTCACCAGACTTGGAGAGCATCCTCTTGTGGCAAAGAGAAAGGTATTTAAATTTCATTGATGATTCAAACATTGATTCTTCAGCTGGGATGAAAGGCAAGAAGCCAGTGAAATCCAAGTATTGTTGTACTCTCTAACAATGCCACCTGTTAACTAAAAAGGGAACTAACCTCACTAGTAGGCTCCAGTAGCTAAGCCATGCAAGGACTAGTCTTTACATTTTAAGCCCTTCTGCTATTTTGTAATTATTCTTAATTTCGCTATTTCCTAATTCCTTCTATAAAAGTTCACGTGTAAGACACATTTACAATAAGGAAAAACAATAAAACTAAATATGAACCACTTCAGATACCAGTGCATTAAACAATAATGCCATTAGAACCAGAAATTCAGTCTTGGTTAGGAAATTTTGCTTCTTACCTTTAGGTTGCGAGATTTTAGAAATGTACTTTTTCTTCTCCTTCTCCTTTTCTTTTACCACATGATGCTCTAAATAATTTTTTTTAACAGCTGTTTCTGAAGATTCAGAGAGAAAGTCTTCTGAATAATCATAGTGAGAACTTAAGCTTCTGCAGGAGCACTGAGATTTGCTATAATCAACACTCTTTTCGGAGGTGTTACTGTTCCTTGAAAAATCACCTGTGCCTGGGCTTATCTTGCATTCTGCAGACTTCCTATTGTTTTCTAATCCCACACTGGGGAAATGTTCATCTATACTTGTTTTTGTTGTATCAGCCAAAGACATAGTAAACAACCTAATAACAGAAAAGCATTTTTGAATTTATAACTATTGACATTAAAATGAACCTATGCTTTATTATATTTTCTTTAACTATAAATAGATAATTACGAATGTAAAAAAACCAAATTATTTTGAAGTATTTTCTGGAAGAATTTCAGTTTGGTTTTTATATTATTTCTATATATATAGGACCCCTGAGACCAGACTTTGGTGAAATGATACTCACAGATAATATGAGATAAAGTTCATATAAGAGAACAACGATGACAATAATTTATGAATTAGTGAATTACATTCTTATTTTTAAGGGCTGGTTATTTGTTGGGATTTATTGCCTTGATTAGAACTGAAAAAAATGACAGTACTTGGTAGGTTAGAATAGCTGGTATAAAATGGAACAGTTGTGAAATTCAGACTATTTATGGAGATACATATTTTCATTCACTAATGGTGAGATCACATACTTTTGAGATTGATCATATAGAGTAGAATATAATGAATTAATTTACTAGTTTTCTAGAGCTAATATTTGTTCTAAAATAAAGAGTAATACTGGGATCCAGTGATGTAATTTTTATCTACTAATTATAAGGTTCTTTATGTTTTAATTCAGGAAATTTGTTTTCCCTTCTATGCTTTATATAGACTATTATAACATGAATGTGATTCCATGATTATATTCTACACGATAACAGAAGAAGCCATTCAGAAAAACATGGTGAGTTTCATGGGAAAATCATCCAGCCATTGGAACCTTTTTGAAGAAAATCTACCAAATAGAAAATTTATGTTTCTTTAATAAAAAAACTTGACCCTATTTTCAGCTACACTAAAAACAAACTTTTACAATTAATCGATGTAGAAACATCAAAACTAAGTTTTTGTCTAATTATTATAGATTTAACTATTTGATGCAAAAAATCAAAATCTTATTTGGTAACTAAACAATAGTAAAGTAAAGTAGACAAAGAAAAATGTTTAAAAGCTAAAAATGAAAATGAAATTTGATGGTGTAATACTGATTTCTAATCAGGGGAATATGACATCACATAGTTGAAAGTCCTTGTAACCAAAGGCCATGACTGAAAAACTAATTCAATTACAACCTACATGGAGTCATACTTCTTTCATTTAGGGTGGGTTTGATTCAAATTAAGTACAACTTAAAGTAATTTAAACCCAGTAGTTCTTCATTTGTATATCAAGAAAGTTTTAGTTCAGTGAATTATTCCCCAGCAACTCTCACAAGTTGCTTCAGGGTTCCACATAGCTAAAGTAACTCTCCAGCTCTTTGTTCCTAAAATCGTACCACTCAGTGAAAAAAATCATATTTTACTTCTACTTTATTTTGAAATTATTTCGTGGCACTGGGCATAGGCAGTGCCTATTAAACCACTGATTGAGCTAAATAATATGTGTGAACGACAAGGCTAGATGACAACATCCTTCCTATTTGTTCCACACAAACTCTCCATACATGCCACATCAGGTCTGCAACACCAGATGCAGCTTCTTGTCTTGATCTCAGGACTGCCTTCTGGAGAGGCTGACAGCCCACAGTTAAACACACACTCCCTAAGAATCCAAAGGTTTAATACAAAAAGAACAATATAGGCCGGCCCGTGGCTCACTCGGTAGAGTGCGGTGCTGATAACACCAAGGCCACGGGTTCGGATCCTACATAGGGATGGCCGGTTTGCTCACTGGCTGAGCATGGTGCTGACAACACCAAGCCAAGGGTTGAGATCCCCTTACCGGTCATCTTTTAAAAAAAGAAAAAACAAAAAGAACAATAAGTCCAGCTCCAAGATAGCTCAAGACAGCTAACAAATAGCTCTTTGCGTGGCCCTTATCCTTGATAATTTAGAAATAGTAGATTTCAATTGCCACAAACTTTTGACACTTTCTTTTTTTACTGACCGGCAACAGGATCGCAACCCTCTGCGCCCGCACCGGGGACCGGCAACGGGATCGCAACCCTCGGTGCTCAGCCAGTGAGCAGGAACCGGTCTCCACATGGGATCCGAACCCTTGGCGGGAGCGCCGCCACGCTCCCAAGCGGCGCACTCTCCAGTGCGCCACCAGGCCGGCCCTGACACTTTCGATAAATCCTCTTAATTGTCTAAAATGAGAATTTAAAATGGAAGGAATAGGAAGTCAAATACAAGAAGGATCCCAAATATATACTCTCAATAAAGTTAGCTAAAAAGCAGATGGTTCTATATTTCTTTATAATCTACTGCATTAAGGCACAATAATGGCTTAGAATCTCTTATAGCAGCCTACCTCAATAGCAGATTGAAACAAACAAGTTTATCTTCTAGGGTCTTTAATAGGATTATTTCTTAAATTTAATTCTCAATTCTCCAGTTTTAACAAGAAAGCAAACGAGAAATTAGCTGGCATCTGATCCTTCCCAACAGGAATTTAGATCTTTCTACAGAGAAGTATTTCCCTCCCCCAATCAGTTTCTGTTTTTTGCTGCATCTGCTTAACTCACTAGCCTTCTCCTCTTCTGATCAAACACATGAGGCATATCATAATCCCCCTACTACAAGAAATCTTAACCCAAATATTCTTATTAATATTAGCATTATATGTAATATTTAACTAGTGCTTTTACTCTGCACAAACTGCTTCCACATCACCTAATGCTAGCTGCACAGAAGGAACAGGTAAGACAGGTTAAAGGTTAGGTGGTTGTCCATGTTTGCCAGTGCCAGGAGCAGTGCTTTTTTCATTAGGCATCACAACTGCAAACACTGGTGGGAACATTACACAATCTGGACAAACAAGATTTCTCTTTGTAGCCACGTTCTGCTATGCAGCAGTGGGCAGAACCAGAAGCAATGACCTTCATTTGTGAACTTTTGCATCTGGATTAAGAAGAATCCCAGATGTCAGTGAAGGACACTCTGAAAGACTAAAACTGCTCTGCTTTGCCTGTCCTTGTCCCTAGGAGCTGTCCCAGCCTCTTGCTCAAGACCTCAGTTCCCAACTGCCTCCTCATCCATTTTCATAAGTCCAAATTGCCCAAAGAGTGGTTGTGAAACCACATTAAGAATTTGGTTTTTGGCCAGTTGTTCCTGACAGAAGCTAGACTTTGGCTGACCTCTTCTCCTAAAGCCTTTAAAAATTCCCTCCTTTATCCCCCCTTAGAACACGCCTTCAAGAAGTCTTCTCATGCCAGCATTTTTGGATAAAGGCTTAAAGTGTTTTTCATGTTACATTCACAAACTGTCAAACAGTTTCAATAGTGGAAGAGAATGTGATGGAAGGTTATAGAAAACTTGAAGGCAGACAAGACTTGGGTTTGAACCTAGGTCTATCTGTCACTTAGATAATCTATCTGCTCTTGGCCATCTGTAAAATGTAAATAACAACATTGATTTCATAGGAACATTATAGGTGGAAATGAGATTGTGTTTGTGAAAAATACCTATCATATAGTGGCATTCAACAAATACTAATTTCCCCTCTTGGAAGAGTAATCCTGGGACAAACAGAAGGACTGTCAAGGGCACTGCTGGTGTCTTCATGTGCGAGTTGCAACCAAGAGTCAGTTTCCCTATCAAATATTTTACCAGGAACAACTTTTTGAATTATCACATTAGACTCCTGAAGGTAGACGCCATGACTTCTCCCTAACCTCAGGCCTAGCATACTGCTGCTACACAACCATTATTTTTCAATGCTCGAATAATGACCACAACCACCACCACCACCATCTATTTTATGACAAGCAAAGACGTAGGAGCTTTATATGTATTAGTTTACTTAATCCTGGTGACAGTCCAGTGAAACAGGTATTATTAACTCTGCTTTACACATGAGGAATCTAAGGCTCAGAAAGGTTAAATAACCTTCCAAGGTCACAAAACTATTGAGTGGGAGAACTGAGTTTTGAACCCAAGTCTGTCTGCCTTTAAAGTTCCTTTCACTGCATCGCACTGCTTGACCCAAAAGAGATATAATTCACCCAATCCATTTATCACTGCCACCTTAAAATGTTAAATTATGTCAACACCTGTGAAAGCCTATGGGAGTTACTTGCTATTCGGCTCTTCATTGTTTTATCTCTACTCTAGAGTCCAAAATCTCAGACAATACTGAAAATAATCACTTATCCCTTAGTCGCTCAGGTTAATCAGTATAACTTGCTCTGAATATGACATAATAGGAACAGTGAGAGGATGAAGATAGGAAGTTAGGGTGGAATGCTGTTTTCTTCCATTCCTAGATTAGAATACTGAGGTCTGAGGATGTGACTGTATCCCACTTAACAATTGTCTTTTTTTAAAAAAGATTCCCTCTGAATCAGATGCTCACCGAAGGCTAAAATGAGCTCTGATTGCCCCATGTTTGATAAAGTAGAGAATTAGCCACCCTAGTCTTCTAGTTTAATAAAAATTGATATAACACAGAAAAAAAAAGACAGAAATCAAATAGAAATCCATTAGAGCCAGATACGAATTAATAAACAAGTCTTTATAAACAACCTCACTCCTAAAATAATTCTACCAGATTAAAATGTACTCTAATGGAAGGCTTTATAGATATAGCTACAAGACAGGTGGTGGATTTGGAGGCATTGTTGCCCTCCCCATGTGGATTTGCAAGTCATAAGCCTCTGCTGATGACTGAACTGTCCCATTAAGTACTGTCTCCTATGGGTCTCTGTATTTTGCAGGATCTTTATAGCTAGGAATCAGTAATTGTAACTCCTTTAAAATGCTTGCAAAATCGCACACGACTAAAAATTTCCCAATGAGAAGATACCTTATTAGCAAAGTTATCCACAATCTTTCCTCAATAATTCATCTTACCTAACGCTACAGTTTAATTTCCTAAGGATGGGCCAAAATGTGGTCTTACTATAAAGACAATTTTTTTTTTTTTTGTGGGATGGGTGGGTAGATAATTCTTTATTGCCACCAATTTTCTAGTGAATGTATTGTCAGCTTGCTTTCATCAAATTTCTAAAACATGGTATGAGGCAGTTATCTACTATTGATCCCTATTATAGCCTAATCTGTCTCATGGAAAAAAACTACAGTAGTTTCCCCTTACCTGCGGGGTGTTCATTCCAAGACTCCCAGTGGATGCCTGAAACCACAGGTAATACACAGTCCGATGTAAAAGGGTACATCAAAAAGTTTGTGGAAAAAGAAAATTAAAAGAGAATATGAACCTTTCCATGAACTTTATGAAGTACTCTCATATATGATATTTTTTACTATATATAAATATCTATGATAAAGTTTAATCTATAAATTAGGAACAGTAAGAGATTAACAATAATAACTAATAATAAAATAGAATTACAACAATATACTGTAATAAAAGCTATATGAATGTGGTCTCTCTCAAATTTTTAAATCACTGAGTAATATCAACTGCATGTATAAACCACAATTTGTTTATCTATTCACCTGTTGACAGACATTTCAGCTATTTCCAGTTTTAGGCTATTACAAATAAAATTTCTATGAACATTCACACACAAATCTTATATATGGGTATACGATTTCTTTTCTCTGGTGCAAATACCTAGGAGTGGAATGGCTGGATGATATGGAAGTAAGGTGAATCTTGGGGAAGAGGAGGAAGAGAGAGGACTTCAAGGGAGAGAGGGAATAGATAAGAGGGAGAGAAAAGAGAGAGAGTTAGGAAGTAAGGGAAATCATTTGGGGTACCTGCTGAAGGCCAAGGGAATGCCCACCTGGAAAAACCTTCCTCTACCCAGGCTGAGGCAGTAGACATATCCACTATACAATACAAGGAGAAACCACATGCTACACCAGACAAACAGTGCTTTATATTACCAAATCAGTTCCACTTCTGAATCTTTCCTTAAGACCCTCTTAGAGCTCCTCTGGACTCAGTCTGTACTGAGACTGAGTTTAGGAAAGGCTGGTCAGGCACTATCTGGAAGGCTAGAAGGCCTCCTAGCTGGTTATCAAGAGTTTTAAAAATTAAACTGAGGCATGTTGAAAATCTTAAAGAGTTTATTTGAGCAAACATCAGTTAATGAATTGGGCAGCACCCAACCATGGTTTGTGGTTTGGGGCTCTGCTGGAGGGACTTGAAGAAAAGGCTTTTATGAGGAATGAGGAAGCAGAACAAAGAAAATGACTGGTTACAGTTATGTAGTTGCCTTATTTGGACTATTCAGGTGGAAAGTTCCTAGTGATATAGTTAGAGGTTAGTTGGCAGTTTATAATTCGTTAAACTTAAGTTTCATTTCCCTGTAGGTTAGTCATTTACAAAAAATGCCCTTGAATTTGGTTTCAGTTTGCTTGCATAGGTAGCCAAGGCATTAGCCACTTTAGCCCTAATGGCCTCCTATTTAACTATTTTTTTTTTTGTTAAATTTTTATTTTGTCAATATACACTGTATATGATTATTATGGCCCATCACCGACACCTCCCTCC